CAAGTATCTCTTTATAGTGGAATAGTGACCACAACTCCAGTGTCTGCCAGATCTTTCTGGAGGGATCGTGCAGTCAAACGTGGGTTTTGAATTGTTTTTCTCACAATCCTGCAAGCTGTTCTGTCTGATATTTTTCTTGGTCTTCCAGATCTTGCTTTAACTTCCACTGTTCCTGATGACTGCCATTTCTTAACCACTTCAAGTCCGGACACTTTTACCCCCTTCCTGACCAGGGCAATTTTCAGCTTTCAGCGCTATCACGCTTTGGATGACAATTACACGGTCATGCAACGCTGTACCCAAATGAATTTTTTACCATTTTTTTTTAAACAGATAAAGCTTTATTTTGGTGGTATTTATTCACCGCTGGGATTTTTATTTTTTTTGCTATGTAAATGAAAAAGTCCAAAAATTTTGAAAAAAAGTGTTTTTTTTATACAATTTTGCAAATAAATAATATTTCATCATAAATCTTTGCCAAAATTTATTCCGTTATCTTTTTAGTAAAAAAAAAAAAAATCCAAATTAGTATAACAAAAATTATAATTTTTAAACTTTTTTTACATTTTTATTTTATTTTTCTTTACATACTGTCACCCTAGCAGTATAGTGTCACCACGGTGACACTGTACTACTTGTGGGGGGTGATGATTTTTTTTTTTTTTTTTTTTTTTTTTTTTTTTACACATTGCTTTTACACCCATATAGGATGTAAAAGCAATCATTTCTCTTTCTCTCTGTCTGCATTCATGCACTCATTGAGAAGTACTGACTGAGCTGTGATTGGTCACAGCTTGTCACATGGTACAAGCCTGTTGTGAATAGGCTTGTACCATGTGACCTCTGATCATTCACAGATTTCACACGTAGTAAGCAATGATGTCACAAGTGACATCTTGCTTACTACTTTGCATGTGATCACTGATTGGCCAATCAGTGATCATATGATCGGGACCTCGTACAGAGGTCCCGTCCGACGATTGGTGTTTTACTGTGTCCAGAGGACACAGCGGGCACCGGATCGCGGTGCTGCGCGCTCCCAGGGAGCGCGCACAAGCAGGGTGCGGGGAGGCCGTTTATAGACAGCCACCCGACCCTGCAGTGCCACCGTCCGGCCGTTTATATGCAACGGCCGGTATGGAAGTGGTTAATTACATTCCGAACAGAGGATATTGACATCTGAAAACACTTTGCTATCTTCTTATAGCCTTCTCCAGCTTTGTGAGCTGGAACTATTTTCAGTTTCAGTTTTCTAGACAACTGCTTAGAAGAACCCATGGTGCTGATTGTTGGGGCAAGGTCAGATGAGTCTGGGCATTTAAAACCTTTGAGATTGACATCACCTGGTCTTCCCAGACGATGACTGAGAACAATCCATGACACTGGCAGGTCTCAGCTTGGCCAAGGGGGCAGTGCATGCTATAAATTCTGCAGGGGGCCCAAACTTTTGCAGACGCCATTTTTTTGTTTTCTGTTATTTTGAAAGTGTAAATGATGGAAATAAAATCTAACTTTTGTTGACATATTATAAGAATGTCTAATCTGTAATTTGATGCCTTTTGGAGATTTTTCCATCTTTCCTTGGCTTCTTTATGCACATTAATACAAATTTTTAGCTGGGGTGCCCAAACTTTCGATCCCCATTGTGTGTGTATGTATGTATGTATGTATGTATGTATGTATGTATATATACATACACACATATATACACACACACACACACACACACACACACACACACACACACATATATACAGTTGCAAGAAAAAGTATGTGAACCCCTTGGGAATATGTGGAGTTTTGCATGAATTGGGCATAAAATGTGCTCTGAACGTCATCTAAGTCACAACAATAGAAGAACACAGTCTGCTGAACATAGTACTACACAAACATTAGATGTTGTCATGGTTAATAGCACATAACATGTAAACATTCACAGTGCAGGGAGGAAAAAGTATGTGAGGCCCTAGCTTAATGACTTCTCCCAGAGCTAATTGGAGCCAGGAGTGAGCCAACCTTGACTCCAATCAGTGTGATGATATTGGATGTGTTGCTGACAGCTGTCCTGCCCTTAAAAAACACACACGTGTTTTGGGTTAACTGGTTTCAAGAAGCACTGTCTGATGTGAGCCATGCCTCGCAGAAAAGAGCTCTCAGAAGACCTACGATCAAGAATTGTTGACTTACATGAAGCTGGAAAGGGTTACAAAAGTATCTCCTTGAGCCTTGATGTTCATGTGTCCACGGTAAGACAGACTGTCTATAAATGGAGAAAGTTTAGCACTGTTGCTACTCTCCCTAGGCGAGGTCGTCCTGTAAAAATGATGCAAGAGCACAGCGCAGAATGCTGCATGAGGTAAAGAAGAATTCCAGAGTGTCAGCTAAAGACCTACAGAAATCTCTGGCACATGCTAACATTTTTGTTGACACATCTACAATAAGGAAAACATTAAACAAGAATGGAGTACATGGTAGGACACCACGGAGGAAGCCATTGCTGTCCAAAAAGAATATTATATTACGTTTGAAGTTTGCAAAAGAGCACCTGGATGTTCCACAGCACTACTGGCAAAATATACTGTGGACAGATGAAACCAAGATTGAGTTGTTTGGGAAGAACACACAACACTATGTGTGGAGAAGAAAAGGCACAGCACACCAACATCAAAACCTCATCCCCACTGTGAAACATGGCGGAGGGAGCATCATGGTTTGGGGCTGCTTTGCTGCCTCAGGGCCTGGACGGATTGTTGTCATTGATGGGAAAATGAATTCCAGAGTTTATCAAGACATTTTGCAGGAAAACGTACGACCATCTGTCCGCCAACTGAAGCTCCCACAGAGGATGGGTGATGCAACAGGACAATGACCCAAAGCATACAAGTAATTCAACAAAACAATGGCTGCAACAGCACAGAATACGCCTTCTGGAGTGGCCCAGTCAGAGTCCTGACCTCAACCCGATTGAAATGCTGTGGCATGACCTTAAGAGAGCGATTCACACCAGACATCCCAAGAATATTGCTACACTGAAACAGTTTTGTGAAGAGGAGTGGTCCAAAATTACTGCAGATCGTTGTGCAGGTCTGATCTGCAACTACAGGAAACGTTTGGTTGAGGTTATTGCTGCCAAAGGAGGGTCAACCAGTTATTAAGTCCAAAGGTTCACATACTTTTTCCTCCCTGCACTGTGAATGTTTACATGTTATGTGCAATTAAACCATGGCAACATCTAATGTTTGTGTAGTATTATGTTCAGCAGACTGTGTTCTTCTATTGTTGTGACTTAGATGATGTTCAGAGCACATTTTATTCCCAATTCATGCAAAACTCCACTTAATCCCAAGGGGTTCACATACTTTTTCTTGCAACTGTACACACACACACACTTTTTCCTCTCCACTGAAATCCCAAGCAGTGCAGTCAGCCCTACCTGCTGGACTACGGAACCTCACCGACCCCCCTGCACCTCTCTACATTCTACTGCTGCCTCGACTCCCAAGATCCTGCCCACAACCCCTGTACAGGAAAAGGGCTCTTGGGAGATGTAGCTCTGGGCATGTGCCTGTGTCAACAGGAACAGATTTCCCCAACAGCTGCCGCTACAAGAATTTTACAAGCCTGGTGGGGACATCAAAGGGAGTTACAAAAGCCAATTCCCACTACAGGAACAAAAGGAAAAGAAAAAATAAAATACAAAATCAGGAAATGCTTTAAAATAAAAAAAAAAAAAAAAAAAAAAAAGGCGGAGGAGGAGGGATATTTGGGAGCTGGACATACCCTTTAAGTGGTTAAACCTGCCTGCTGAATTCTGGATTGCTCTCACAGGCTCTGGCATTCTATAGCAATCCGTCTGGCTCCGTTACAGACGATGGAGAACTCAGCTGTCACCATCCGATGTCATGAGATCAGACCGCCAACTAACCCCAAAGGGAAGGACTGTCAAAGCCTACAGATGTGGATTCAATGTTCCCCGGCAGCCAGAATTCCATCGGGGAAAAATTAAAGGAGAGATCCCTCCCAATGAATCACCCGTTCATCCCGCAGAATAAAACTCCCAGCCCCGCCACATACCTGCAGAGAGAGGCTGGCAGACAGGCATACCGATATCACGTTACAGAACAGGTTGTGCCAGACGCTGCAGTAAAGCGAGTTCACTTTGCAGCAGCTATTAAACTGTAAGTGTTGCAGGCGGATAGACGGAGGTGGAGGCGTAATGAAATAATCCCTGGTGCTGCTACCAGAGATCTGCAGACGGCTCCTCATGCTGATTATGAAGTGATGCAAACTCCATGCATGCTGACAGAGTGAGCCAAACGTCGCTAGACGGAAGCTGCAGAAGCCGGCCATAGAAATTAAATCAAACCACATGTGGGGATGGGTGTGGGATCTGCTGCAAACGAGGCATGAAAATTACCATTTTGGGGGTTTATTAGGTCTTCCCAGGATTTGGAGAACTAGGCCCAAAAGGTTTAAAGGAGAACTCTACTTATGTAACTCCTATGCAATCTTTTCCATGAACAAAGAAAAGGTACAAAGAAAAAAGCAAAAACAAAACAACCCCATAAACAGGACCTATGGGATTAGCTGACCAGATGTCCCTGGTTTCTGGGACAGTCACGGATTTTAAAGGGGCTGTCCCCAGGGGGAGAAAAAAAAAAAAAAAAAAAAAAAAAAAGCATTCCCAATAAAAAGGTGTCCCCAATTTCCTTCCAGCTTTACGAATGATGACCCCGGACCGGGCGGCTGCAGTGGTATCAATCTTCGCAAGATCGCTGCGATGGCCTGGTTCAGGATATGGGAAGGGAGGGGTGTCTGCAGGATTATTGATGAGGTCACATTACCTGGTCTTACCCCAGCCCCTCCCCTCAGAGTGCAGCTCACATGTTATGAAAACGGCGTCTCAAATGCCGCTATGATTACCAATCACCTGCTCCGCCCCCAAACTACCACCAGTAAAAGGGCATTGTGGTCACTCCCTGTCTCCCCCCCCCCCCAAATCAGTGGGAAGAATGCCCCTTACGTTGGGGGTCAGTGGGAAGAATGCCCCTTACATTGGGGGTCAGTGGGAAGAATGTCCCTTACATTGGGGGTCAGTGGGAAGAATGTCCCTTACATTGGGGGTCAGTGGGAAGAATGCCCCTTACATTGGGGGTCAGTGGGAAGAATGCCCCATTACATTGGGGGTCAGTGGAAGAATGCCCTTACATTGGGGGTCAGTGGGAAGAATGCCCCTTACATTGGGGGTCAGTGGGAAGAATGCCCCTTACATTGGGGGTCAGTGGGAAGAATGTCCCTTACATGGGGGGGGGGGGGGGGGGGGGGGGGGGGTCAGTGGGAATAACGTCCCTTAAGAATGTCCCTTACATTGGGGGTCAGTGGGAAAAATGTCCCTTACATTGGGGGTCAGTGGGAGGAATGTCCCTTACATGGGGGGGGGGGGGGGTCAGTGGGAAGAATGCCCCTTTTACCGACTGCCAAAAAGATGATTGGAGTAATTCTGTGGCTCTTTCAGGTGGCTTTGGCCCTGGAACTATGCAGACACCATGACATGGGAGGTCGATCTGTCACACATCAATGAACCCACGCCGGCCTCTGCAGGAATCCCGTTGAGAATAACTGTACTAGTCATTCATTTAGTAGCCGTCAGAGGCATCCAAACAGCAGCTATTCACATCATAGCATGTAATTACAACATCAGCCGGCACGCCTAGCATTACACGGAGGTGACACATGCATCCTACAGAGCTATGAACGCTATGCTCTCCTAGTAGGTCAAATATTTGTAATATGTACAACATGGAAAGAGTTCAACAGTTCAAAGTCCGGCCCAATCTTTAGGTTTGGACACCATGACTGTTCTGGCTGTAACCCCGCTGGGAAGATTTCCCCTCACTTCCTGTCCTGGTGACACCTTCACAAGAAATAAGTAGTACAGTTACAGCTGGAATGCACAGAAAGCAAAAAAAAAAAAAAACACAGAAGTTCCAACCCTTCCTTCTCACAAAAAAAACCAAAACCAAACACCCATCAATCCGAGGGCACATAGAAAACAACTGTCCACGCCACTGAGGTTTGGTACAGAAAGACGACACGCTGGATTTTTCTGCAGCACATTGGATGGCAGAGGAACTCCCCGCACTGCTGAACTTTGCCTTTTCAGAGGATTTTTATTGGAAATGTACAAAGTCTTCACAAACCAACTTAATGTGTTACTAAACCCCGGACTTGTCATCCACACCATCCGCTCTCCCCCCGCGTTTCCCCCCCCCCCCCCCCCATCAGCTCTCCCCAGACCCCGCATTCACTATATCCACTCTCCCCGGACCCCGCATCCACACCATCCGCTCTCCCCACATTCACTACAGCCGCTCTCCCCCGGACCCCGCATCCACACCATCCGCTCTCCCCGGACCCCGCATTCACTACATCCGCTCTCCTCGGACCCTGCATTCACTACATCCGCTCTCCCCGGACCCCGCATCCACACCATCCGCTCTCCCCGGACCCCGCATTCACTACATCCGCTCTCCCCGGACCCCGCATTCACTATATCCACTCTCCCCGGACCCCGCATCCACACCATCCGCTCTCCCCACATTCACTACAGCCGCTCTCCCCGGACCCCGCATTCACTACATCCGCTCTCCCCGGACCCCGCATTCACTACATCCGCTCTCCCCGGACCCCGCATTCACTACATCCGCTCTCCCCGGACCCCGCATTCACTATATCCACTCTCCCCCGGACCCCGCATCCACCACATTCGCTCTCCCCCACATTCACTACAGCCGCTCTCTCCCCGGACCCCCCGCATTCACTACATCCGCTCTCCCCAGACCCCGCATTCACTACATCCGCTCTCCCCGGACCCCGCATTCACTACATCCGCTCTCCCCGGACCCCGCATTCACTACATCCGCTCTCCCCGGACCCCGCATTCACTACATCCGCTCTCCCCGGACCCCGCATTCACTACATCCGCTCTCCCCCCGGACCCCGCATTCCGCCACTCTCCCCGGACCCCGCATCCACACCATCCGCTCTCCCCACATTCACTACAGCCGCTCTCCCCGGACCCCGCATCCACACCATCCGCTCTCCCCACATTCACTACATCCCTCTCCCCGGACCCCGCATTCACTATATCCGCTCTCCCCGGACCCCGCATTCACTACATCCGCTCTCCCCCGGACCCCGCATTCACTACATCCGCTCTCCCCCGGACCCCGCATTCACTACATCCGCTCTCCCCGGACCCCGCATTCACTATATCTGGTCTCTCACAGAACACACAACATGGAAATTAATTATTTTAGTAAATTATAAATCCATTCTCTCATCAGTAGTATAGAGCAGTCTTGTGACTTCTATCAGTGTCCTGCTGAGTACTGGTTAAAGCTTGTAGGAGGAGTTTTCATTTTGCTCTAGGAGGATGCAGAACCCCTGATCTGTCTGGACAGTGCTGATTGGCTCTGTGCTGATCACATGCACTGTCCAAAAAAAAAAAAAAAAAAAAAAAAAGCCTCTCTAGCAATACACACCAAACTGAGCATGTGCAGAGTGTCTCCGCACGATATGCCTTATCAGGAGATAAAAGGGCAAAACTGGAAGGGGTAGGATCAGAAAAGACAGGATCAAACAGCCTTTTTACACAATGCAGAGGATTAACCCCTTAGGTTCCACAGTGAGTATAACAAGCATGCTTTACTGCATCTACAGACTGATTGTACTGTTGGGGGTTTAGTAACACTAATGCTGGACCCCAAACACAAAAATTCTAATCATTGAACCCCTTGGAGCCGGCGCCTCCCAGCCCTTTAAGTGGTTTCTGGCGCCAGGAGGCGGGGCGGGATTTAGGGTCATGTGACTGCTGTGATTGGCTGTCACATGATCAGAAAGCTCCCAAACACAAATTGCAACTAAGAGCTTTCCACAAGGCGCCGGGGGGGGCACATTCACGGAGGACGTCATACGACGTGCCCTCCCAGAACTGGACAATCGCGCTGTAGCGGTCATTCGGCGATAGCGAGGTTAGCGAGTGGTTAAGGACCGCCCCCCCAGCAATGTACTGCAGATGGGCAGTCGTACAGGCACAGTGTACGCCTCTGGCCTCCTCCAGGTACAGGGAGAGCATGCCTCTGCCCGCCGACTCCCTCTGTGACTTTAGTTTGTCAGTGGGTCCCGATTCATGAGGATTCATGGGCGGGACCTGCTGATCGGCTGTATCCAAGCACAGCCAAGAGCCCTGTGTTGGCAATCAACACAGAGCTCTGTACAGAGAGAACAATCCCCTTGTTTCTTCTCCCTGCAAACAGGGAGAAGGAACAGAGAGATTTTTAATAAAAAGTAGCACACATTACACATGGTTAGGCACACACTTAAAGTGTCACTACACCCCCCCGCAGTACAATCAGTCTGTAGATGCAGTAAAGCATGCTTGTTATACTCACTGTGGAACCTAAGGGGTTAATACTCCGCATTGTGTAAAGGCTGTTTGATCCTGTCTTCTCTGATCCTCCCCTTCTACTGTCCCCAGTCCATCTGCTGATGGTACAGAGCTCTAAAAGTCACTGCACATGCTCAGTTTGGTGTGTATTGCTAGATGTTTTTTTTTTTCTTCTTGGGAGGGTGCATGTGATCAGCACAGGGCCAATCAGCACTGTCCAGAGGGTCAGGGGTCATGCAGCATCATAGGACAATTGAGGGAGAATGAAAATTCTTCCTACAAGATTAATCAGTGCTCTTCTGGACACTGATAGAAGTCACAAGACTGCTATATACTGCTGATGAGAAAAGGGATTTAGTAGTTTAGTGCCGTAACATGATGAAGGTGGTGAGGTCATCGGGTATTTTTTGGGGGTGCATGCAACAGAGGAAGGAGCTGAGGGGAAAATCGATGAGAAGTATAAACAAAGTCTGGCCTTCTTTATGAGGATTGGACTTGCTGTGTCCCCATTGTGGAGATTTCCTCTTACTTCCTGTTGCAGTGACCACCTGCGAGCGGATGAGACCAAACACGCATCTTGAACGAACACCGTGCATCGATACAATGTTACAGAAGAGATCTAGTTAGACGAGTCCGGACGGTGCGAAGAGTCCAAGGGTCGCCCTTGTGGGCGTGGTTATACCAGAACTGCAAACGCCAATAGGGTCCAACTCCTCCCATCAGTGGCAGACACGGTACAACACGCTGCAGGAGGAAACCGACCAACTTTATCGGCAATCGGACAATGTTTTATGAGAGACGAGGACAGAGCTGCGTCTATAAAACACCCGAGCCACCTCAGCTGCTGAGGAACCACAAGATCCAGCATGCCCAGATGTCCAAGACAACCCCACCAAAGAAAAAACACTGGAGGGGCTCCGGTGGGCCACCAAAAAAAAACACTGGAGGGGCTCCAGGAACACATGAAAATGAAACAGACCTTCCGGAACGCACCGCGCAAGAGACAGACGGACAGGAGGCGGATACAAGTGCACTACGGCCAGGATCCCCTCCGTGGTTGGCGGAAATGTGTGGGAAAATCGCGTGCTTTCCCGCAACGCACAGAAACGTGTTGACTTTTTGTCAGGTTCTTCAGAAGTTTTGGGAAACAAAGTAGAGAAGCCACGGATGCCATAGAGGACGTGGTCTGTGTCCGGGTGTAATACGGCTTCCATTCCACGCACAGCAGCGCAGCGTTTTCTGGGCCTGGCGTGTACGGAGGACGCGTCCAATCACTTCTGTGGACCCCCCCGAGGTCAGCTCCTCCCATGACGCCGGGCTCAGCGGGCAAAGGCCAAGGACTGTCCCATGTAGGAGGGGATGAAGTGACACCAGATAAACGGGCAGACATGGCGAGATAGGAAAGGGCGGGGGGTGGGGAGGAAGGGGGGGGGGGTATAAAGTGGTGCGGGGTAAAGTGACGGAGCCCCTCCAGATGACACCCACACGCCGGGGGGCTTCCTTCCTTCTACACAACACACGTGGGGTCCCTCCCTCTATGTGGCCTCCACTTACAGGGGGCCCCCTAGGAGGCACCCACACACACCCGGGGGCCTCCCTTCTACACAACACACACAGAGGGCCCCCCCCAGGTGGCACACGCACACACAGAGGGACCCCTCCCCCCCCAGGTGGCACCCACGCACAGAGGGAACCCCCCCCCTAGGTGGCACCCACGCACAGAGGGAACCCCCCCCCCCTAGGTGGCACCCACGCACAGAGGGAACCCCCCCCCCCTAGGTGGCACCCACGCACAGAGGGAACCCCCCCCCCCCCCCCTAGGTGGCACCCACGCACAGAGGGAACCCCCCCCCCTAGGTGGCACCCACGCACAGAGGGAACCCCCCCCCTAGGTGGCACCCACGCACAGAGGGAACCCCCCCCCCTAGGTGGCACCCACGCACAGGGGGAACCCCCCCCCCTAGGTGGCACCCACGCACAGAGGGAACCCCCCCCCCTAGGTGGCACCCACGCACAGAGGGAACCCCCCCCCCTAGGTGGCACCCACGCACAGAGGGAACCCCCCCCCCTAGGTGGCACCCACGCACAGAGGGAACCCCCCCCCCCCTAGGTGGCACCCACGCACAGAGGGAACCCCCCCCCCCCTAGGTGGCACCCACGCACAGAGGGAACCCCCCCCCCCCTAGGTGGCACCCACGCACAGAGGGAACCCCCCCCTAGGTGGCACCCACGCACAGAGGGAACCCCCCCCCCTAGGTGGCACCCACGCACAGAGGGAACCCCCCTAGGTGGCACCCACGCACAGAGGGAACCCCCCCCCTAGGTGGCACCCACGCACAGAGGGAACCCCCCCCTAGGTGGCACCCACGCACAGAGGGAACCCCCCCCCCTAGGTGGCACCCACGCACAGAGGGAACCCCCCCCCTAGGTGGCACCCACGCACAGAGGGAACCCCCCCCCTAGGTGGCACCCACGCACAGAGGGAACCCCCCTAGGTGGCACCCACGCACAGAGGGAACCCCCCCCCTAGGTGGCACCCACGCACAGAGGGAACCCCCCCCCTAGGTGGCACCCACGCACAGAGGGAACCCCCCCCCTAGGTGGCACCCACGCACAGAGGGAACCCCCCCCCTAGGTGGCACCCACGCACAGAGGGAACCCCCCCCCCCACGCACAGAGGGAACCCCCCCTAGGTGGCACCCACGCACAGAGGGAACCCCCCCCCCTAGGTGGCACCCACGCACAGAGGGAACCCCCCCCCCTAGGTGGCACCCACGCACAGAGGGAACCCCCCCTAGGGGGCACCCCCCCCCCCCCTAGGTGGCACCCACGCACAGAGGGAACCCCCCCCCCTAGGTGGCACCCACGCACAGAGGGAACCCCCCCTAGGTGGCACCCACGCACGAGGGAACCCCCCCTAGGTGGCACCCACGCACAGAGGGAACCCCCCCCAGGTGGCACCCACGCACACACCAGGGGCCTCTTTAAATGGGTCACGTGGTGGAATGTGTATCACGTGACGGTTCAGGTGAACTGAGGTTCTCTCCGGGGTCCGGCCCGGGTCGGACATGAAGTGATGTAAATGAACATACAGCTCCATACACGGAGCTCTCCCTCCTGTCAGTCACCCATTCCGCCCACTCCCATTAGCCGAGACGCTGGGCGGCGGGGCGTGTCGCGGCCTGCGATTGGCTGCCCAGTGACAGCGATGCCAGGCCGGGGAGAGTCGCTGGCTCTGGGGCCTGATCCAAACTCTGACCCAGCCCAGCCTTACCTCCGCTATCTCATGTCCTCCGCGGAGAACAGGGCCTCTTCCCCCGTCACAACGCTGCCCTGTGCCGCCCCAGCCGCTCTATCCGCTCCCGCAGCGCGTCATGTCAGCGGCTCGGCTCCTCTCCACTATCAACAGCGCCAGTCGCTTCCGCCCCTAGCAACGGATATCCTCCCCGCCCGTCACTATGGAGACCGCCCGCTTCTTACCATTGGCCCCTCGGCCTGTCAGTTCGAGTGCGAAAGGGGCGGGGGGGTTCTCAGGGGAGAAAACCCGCCCTGAGCGTGAGGGAGATGTGCTCATTGGTGTACGGGCTGTCGCTCAATTTTAAAGGCGGGGCTTTCGTCTAGGAGGCGGAGCAGAAAAAAAAGGCGGAATGATAGGAGGAGCCTAGCCGTTTTGGCGAGATGATTGGAGGAGCTTTTTCGAGTGCCCTCATATTGGGAGCAGTTTGTGCTTTCCTCTTGAATAGTAGGAGGAGTCAAAATGGCTGGCAACTTGGTTGGGAGGAGCTTAGGCGTTACGTTCAGAATGAGTGATAGTGTGGTCGGTTCCTGCTCCACCCTGAGTGGGAGGAGTCAGACTGACAACAAGGTGGGAGGGGTTTAGGCTTTCCAACTGAAGTGAGTGATAGTGTGGGAGATTCCTGCTCTACCCTGAGTAGGAGGAGTCAGACTAACAAGGTGGGAGGGGTTTAGGCATCCCAGCTGAATTGAGTGACAGTGTGGTCGGTTCCTGCTCCACCCTGAGTGGGAGGGGTCAGACTGACAACAAGGAGGAGTTTAGGCTTCCCAGCTGAATTGAGTAACAGTGTGGGAGGTTCCTGCTCCACCCATAGTGGGAGGGGTAAGACTGACAACAAGGAGTGGTTTAGGCTTCCCAGCTGAATTGCGTGACAGTGTGGGAGGTTCCTGCTCCACCCGGAGTGGGAGGAGTCAGACTGACAATAAGGAGGGGGCTCCCCAACAACGCTATGCTGCGATTCAGTGAGAGAAATTCAGGGAGGGGGAGGAGATTTGCGTTGAAAGTGGTGTTGCCGTCATGGGGGAGGGGGCGGGGTTGAAGGATTGCAGTGGGAGGGATTTTCGTTTTTGGAGGCCCTCCATGCGTTACTTATTTTTGTCCCAACGCACGTGCGTATTCTGCACTCCTGACCCGGAGCGATGTGGGCTCACGTGTGATCAAACCAGATCGAGACTTTCCGTTCCGGGGTCAAAATGCCGAGGAGATTCGGATGCATCCGAGGGACAATAGTGACAAATTGAAACAAAACGAATTCTAAAACGAAAACAGATTCGAACTGTAAACATATTGCTGAGTTCCTTCAAAGACTGTGTGCTGGTGTTAGAAACACGAAGTTCGAAAAGAATAGAATAGACTAAAACAGAATAGAATAAAAAGGAATAGAAAATAAAGTGCTAGAATAGAAAAGAAAGGAATGGACTCAAAAACAAATAGAGTAAAACAGAATGGAATAGAATATAAAAGAACAGAATAAAACAATATAATAGAAAATAATGCTAAAAAGGAATACAATAGAACAGAATGGAATCAAAAAGAAGTAAAACAGAAAAGAATAGAACATAAAATAACAGCTAAAAATGAATACAATAGAAAATAAAGGAATAGAATAGAAAAGAATACAATAAAATAGAAAGAATATAGCCATCCTCCCAAACTTGAAATTCAAAAGAATAGAAAATAAAGAATAGAAGAGAAAAGAATGGAATAGAATATAAATGAAAGAAAGGAATCAAAAAGAATAGAGTAGAATAGAATATAAAATAATGGACAAAAAAGAATAGAATAGAAAATAAAGGAATAGAATAGCATAAATTAGAATATAGCCATCTTTGAAATTTGAATATCAAAAAGAATAGAATAAAACAAAATAGAATATAAAAGAACAGAATAAAAAAAGAACAGACAATAAAGGAATAGAATATAAAATAATAGAATAAAAAAGAACAGAAAATAAAGGAATTGAATATAAAAGAATCAAATAGGAATAAAAAAGAAAATAATAGAGTACAATGGAATAGAATATAAAATAATAGAACAAATAGAATAGAAAATAAAGGAATGGAATAGAAAAGAAAAAATGGAATGGACTCAAAAACAAACGAATAGAGTAAAACAGAATGGAATAGAAAATAATGATAAAAAGGAATACAATAGAAAATGAAAAGAATGGAATCAAAAAGAATAAAGTAAACAGAAGATAATAGATGTTAAAATAATAGCTAAAAAAGAATACAATAGAAAATAAAGGAATATAATAGAAAAGAATACAATAAAATAGAATGTCGACATTCTCTAAAAATTTGAATTTAAAAAAAAAAAACATAGAATAGAAAATAAAAAAATAGAAAAGAAAGGAATAGAATATGAAAGAAAAAAAAAAATGGAATCGAAAAGAATAGAGTAAAACAGAATAGAATATAAAATAACGGATAAAAAGGAATACAATAGAAAATAATACAAATAGAAAATAAAGGAATAGAATAGAAAGAAATAGAATAGCATAAAATAGAATATAGCCATCTTCCGAAATTCGAATTTCAAAAAGAATAGAATAAAACAATAGAATATAAAAGAATAGAATAAAAAAGAACAGAAAGCAAAAGGAATAGAATATAAAAAAAAAATAGGAAAACTAGAAAAGAAGAGAGTGCAATAGAATAGAATATACAATAATAGAACAAGTAGAATAGAAAATAAAGGAATGAAATAGAAAAGAATAGAATAGAATAGAAATGAGAATAAAATAATAGCATAGAATAGAAAATAAAGGAATAGAAAAAAAAAAGAATAGTGTAAAACAGAACAGAACTGTCACTTCCGATCACCTAGGCGATCGCAGCGGAAGTGGCAGTGTCAATTTCAGGTTCCTGCTCCCCAAAAGTGCCAACCCTTAACAGGGAGCGGGGGGGGGGGCCAGTCCTTAAATCGGAACTTCCCCTTTTGTTCTCTGTGAACGAATAGCATTCAACCTGGAAAGAAAATACCTTAGTAACATCCAATTCAGAAGGTCCAGGAAGAGGGACTGAGGGATTTGATTCCGTTATAGGGACAGTCCCTCCAAAATTAGGGACAGTAGGGAGGTATAGTGGTGGGCGGGCCGATAACAGTGGGAGGAGCCGCAATTTAATCGGGAAATGATTTCGATACAAAATATGGTCTTGTGTATAATCTCAGCTGGTTTCCTCGCCCAGAAAACCGTCAGGAAACCCGCCTTGAGAACTGCCCTGCAGTGGCGTCCCTAGGCCGGCAGGTGCGGGGGGTGCGGTCCGCACCGGGTGACACCGACTGCACCGAGTGACACCGGACCCGCTCCACGAAAAGGTAAGTTGTAAAGAAAGCCGACGATCCCCGCAGGATGGATCTGATCTGCGGATTAGGGAGTATAATGGATCGGACTCCAATCCATTATGCTCCCCCATCCGCAGATCCCATCCATCCTGCGGGGATCATCGGCATGCATCCTATACAGGGTGACACCTACTGCACAGGGTGACACCGGACCCGCTCTACGAAAAGGTAAGTTGTAAAGCAAACCGACGATCCCCGCAGGATGGATCGGATCTGCAGATTGGGGAGCATAATGGATCGGAGTCTGATCCATTATGCTCAATCCGCAGATCCCATCCATCCTGCGGGGATCGTCGGCTTGCTTTACAACTTACCTTTTCGTAGAGCGGGTCCAGTGTCACCCCGTGCGGCCGGTGTCACCCTGTATAGGTTGCATGCCGACGATCCCCGCAGGATGGATCGGATTTGCAGATTGGGGAGTATAATGGATCAGAGTCCGATCCATTATGCTCAATCTGTAGATCCGATCCGTTCTGCAGGGATTGTCAGAAGGGGTGTCACCAAGTGTTACCGCACCGGGTGACACCAACCCTAGGGATGCCCCTGCTGCCACACAGCCATCACTGGAATGCATGTTGCCGGGAAGCTATACTGCCATCCCTATGAAAAGCAATTCACGCCGGATTGCCTTTCAGAGGGCATGTTACAGGCAGTGAGACGGCGATTCGTCCCCTCCTCACTGCTTACTTTGACCCTGAAAATGCCAAACAATGATACAAACACCCATGTGATCTGTTTTTAGTGCGGATAAAAAAAAAAAAAAAAAAACCTACCTGCACCTTTTTCACGCACAGGGGCAGACTGACAACTCATGGGGCCCCTGGGCAATAGGGGATCATGGGGCCCCCGAGTCCTCACCCATACCCAAAAAAGCCTATGAAAAAGCCAATGAAAGGTACCAGGGGCATCTCATGGGGCCCCCTACTGACCCCGGGCCCTTGGGCAGTGCCCGAGTGCTCGAATGGTCAGTCCGCCCCTGGTCCCGCGTATGCGAAAAGCAGAATGAACGGGTTCAAATCGCACCGCACAGAATCACATGGGATTTGCACAGCAATGTGTGTGTGAACCCAGCCTGAAGCAGCATTAGCACACCGATGACACCATCACTCTGCTCTCTCCTCCTCTCTGGAGACTACGGTCGGCCATACATGGGTCGATTCCCGACCAATTTTTAATTCAAAAATCAGACCTAAGAATAATCAGCTGATTTTCGCTCTGTTAGTAGGGCAATGGCACCGGCCGATTTTCGTGGTTCCTCCCCATTTCGTTTATCAGGCATGTTGGAAAATTCGTGAAAAACGACCGATTTTCTAAATCATTGGTGGCACCATCGGATGACTGAACGAACGACGTTTTCGATCGAAAAATCGTTCAGAATTCGACCCGTGTATGGCTTGCTTAACCCTGCGGGATCCAAAGAAGACTGGCTGGTGGTTGTCAACGCCGCCGCTTCCTCATCCAGTCTGTGTCCTGAGATTGCAGGAAGCTGAGATAAAGACGAGACTCGTTTCAGCTTTCTGTGGCATTTCCAGTCATTTCGAGGAAAAAAAAAAAATACAATATAAATATAATATACAGAATATAAACAGAAAACGATCAACAGGACTTCAGGGAACCTCGCCCCCTGCTGGGCAACTTACAGAATGAGGAACTGAAGTGTGGAAAAGAAAAACATTCTCAGATGTTGCAATCATTTTTGC